CAGAAGAGCTAAAGCCAGCCTAGAACATTTAGCAAAACTTTATTGAAGGTTCCAAAAGAATAGAATAATTATCTACCGGGTGTAACTCACAATTGGCCATTGGATATGGTTTCTCCTAGAGCCCACCGGCCTTCATAGCCTTCATAGCATTTCTGCCTACCCTGGCCACCCAATTAGAGCAGAAGTCTCCTCCCCTCCCCACACCCCATCACCACCCAGCAATACCTTAAACTCACCTAGAGCGGGTCCTCAGAGAAAGGAAGGAGCTCCCTTTTCCTCTTGCCGAAGGTCCACTTTCTAAGACCACAGTTCCTATCTTAGGACTTGCTTCTTCCAAGGAAGGTTGATCTGATGAATGTCTCTTCCCTTCAGAGAAGACTTCTCTCATCCATATAGGTGTGGCCTTTCCTCATGACCTGAACAGGACATGGTGGTCTAACTTTGTACAGAAAGAACACAGATTGTGGTGTGAGAAGGAAGGCAAGGAAAATGAGAAGGACAGGGCTCATTTCCAAAGGTACCTCACACTCAGTATATATAAAACCAAACTCAACATGTCTTTCTGGTGCCCTCCCTCCAAATCTGCTCAACTTTTGCTTACTCTTGTCTTAAGTAATGGCATCAGCATCCTCAAAGTCACCCAGGCCAGAATCCTGGGGGTCAGCATGGCACCTCCCACTGAGATTCCCACACCTTCTACCTCCTGAATGTCTTTCCGATCTTCCCTCTCCTCCTCATGTCTGTCCTTGGTTCAGGCCATCTCATCTCTGTCTGGACCAGGGCAAATTCCTCCTCACTGATCTTCTTGCCTCTGGCTTTCCCTGCTCTAATCCATCCTCTACACTACAGTCAGGGTGATTTTTCTCAAATCATTGTCCCGCCACATATATAAGGTTGCTGTCCTGGAGCCAGACAGCCTGGCTAAAAATCCATACAAGTTTTATAACCACGAACCTCTAACCTCTTATGGCTCAGTTACCTCATCAATAAGTGAAGATAACAGTACCTACCTCAGGTCATCATGGGGTTTGTGGTAGGCTGCTTCTAAAATAGCTCCCAATGGTCCCATTTTCTGGTACGCATGCCCTTGGGTGATGCCCTCCCATTGAGTAGGGGCTGGGCCCCGTTAGTTGCTTCTAATAAATAGAGTACAGCAAAAGTGATGGGACATCACTTCCAAGGTTAGGTTATAGAAGACTTTGACTTCTGTCTTGCCCATTCTCTCTCTGGCTCTGTTCTCTTGTGTGCTCTGATGAAGCAAGCCTACATGTTGTGACTGCCCTATGGAGAGGCCCACATGGCAAGGAGCCGAAGGCAGCCTCAGCCAGTGAGGAACTAAATCCTGCCAGCAGCCAAGTGAGTAGGCTGGGCAGCAGATCCTTCCCCACTCGAGCCTTAAAATAAATCCAGCCCCAGCCGACACCTTGATTACAGTTTTACGAGAGACCCTGAGCCAGAGGACTCAACTAAGCTGTGCTGGATTCCTGACTCACAGAAACTGTGAGGTAATAAATGTTGTTGTAAGCCACTAAGTTTTGGGATAATTTGTTATGCAACAATAGAGTAATACAGATATAAATAATACAGATAGAGGCCTCTATTTGAGCTTGATGCATAATCAGTAAATATTAGCTATTGTCATCATTGTTGTAAATTATTATAACTTGTTTAGACACACTGCTAGACTGAAAGCTCTCTAAGGGGAGGGATCATGCCTGCCTAGTTGTCTACTAGGTCTCAAGCTCCTGGCATCATGCTAGGCACAGAGTCCTTGAGTCAACAGTAACTATTTGTGTGCTAAAAGAATGATCAGCAAGGAATGAACTGGGGTCCTCCAGACTCTTACCTCCCAGGCCAGGAAAGGGGCTGTTGAGAGTTGGGGGAACAGTCTCCCTCTGGCCAGAAGATGGACCAAGTAAAGTGGTAAGGGTCTGTCCCCCAACAGGCTAGAGTACAAAGTCCCTTTGTGGTGTCCAAGCCTCCTTAAGCCCAGGCTGCATGTTTCCCAGGAGCATAGTTATCACAAAGCTAGTCCTTGTAATCCTTGTGTCTGCTCTACATCCCTGGAAGGCACAGGGAAAACAATGAAACCATCATTACCAACCTTCTCTCCTGGCCTGTGTGTGGACAGGGTGGGCAGGAGAAAGTCTGTGTTTGACTTGGCTGGGTAACATCATTTTTCTTGACTGAAGATATGTGTGCCAGAGGGGCTAAAAGTAGAAGGTAGTTCTCACCCAAGGGGAGCTTTATTCCCCAGAGGCCAGGCCCCACAGTAATATAAAGAAGCTCTATCTTCCATGTGCCCATCACCCACTCCTGCTTTAAGACTCAGCTCAAATGTCTCCTCTTTCACGGCGCCCTCCCCAACTTCCCCGGCTCCTATTGTGCCCTCGGCCTAATGCCCCCACTGGAGCTGCTGTCTTCCAGGTCTTAGTGAATGCGTTCCCGGAACTGCCTGGCCCACCAGGGCAATGACTGCACCCTATTCGCTTTTGTAGCCCTGGTCTCCGCAGAGCTGACAAAGTGCCAATGCTGAATGAATTACAGAGCGCTGTTGCATTCTGAACTCAGGAATGGCAGAAATAAATCTCTAGAGAGGCATGAAACCCCCTTTTGCACAAGAACATGGAAAAGAGAAGATAGGGGTTATGTGTGGTTGGTCCTGGAAGGGAAGCTCTCTGAAAGCCCTGTGCTCCTGGGGTAAGGAAGTCAGGACTGCAGGCACAACACAAGTCTTAGGAATTGGAGCTACTTTCCTACAGAAACGACCTCCCTCCTCTGCGCATTGACAAGGACTCTCCCTTATTCTAAGCTAGTCGTTCGCCAAGTGTGGTCCCCAGACCAGCATCATCATTACCACTTAGGACCTTGTTAGAAATGCAAATTTTCAGACCCCACCCCAGTCCTCCTGGATCAGAAAGTCTGGGGACCAGGCCCAGCCATCTGTGTTTTCACGAGCCCTCCATGCGATTCTGATGAATGGTTGAGTTTGAAAACCACCATTCTAAGTACACTGAAACGCAAAGACCTTAGAAATACAACCCAGATTGATTTAAAATTAAGATTAAACAAGAACCCAAGCCAATGCTGCTTGCTATAAAATGCCCAGGATCAATGAAACATCCTATTCTCCACAAAACCATTCAACAGGCAATTAAAGGAACTCAGCACATTTATTTTAAATGTGCAAAATGAATTTTCATATCCTAAGAGTAACACCAGATGTTTTGCCCCTTTTTCCTAATTGATTTTCCAGCCTACAGCGATTCGTCTTTATATTTTCCAGTTGGATCCTAACGCAGCCAGAAGAGTGTGTTCCGGCAGGATTATTAAATGCCATGCATTTTAAAACAAGTACAACTCGGGCCGCCATGCGTCATCTGGGTGGTTGTCTTCCCAAAAGATAAAAAACAGACTGGTACCAGGCAGCTTGGAGCTGGCAAGAAACCCAGAAAGGCCCTTTCAGGGAGCTGGGTCGCCAGGCTCTTGGCTGGTTGCAAAGCTGAGTCCTGGGCCCTGAGCCCAAGCCTGAGCTTTTCTCCACAGAGTCCTATACTCCCTGGTACTGAAGGATTTGCTAGCTGGGAAACTTGCAAATAAACATTTTGTTCTTTAATGGGAAGTTTTGTCTTTAAAACTGAGAAGAAAAAGTAGGCTGGGGGATGGAGGTGAGTGGGGCCGAGGGGCAGAAGACAGGGTGAGACAGTTGCTCAGAGAAGAAGCCAGCCTGGGTGGACCCTCTCCCTGCTCTGCGCCTGGAGACGCTCAGACAATTCCCCTCTGTTGGCCATGGGCCGGGCTGCGCAGGAGGCCCTGTTCCTGATGTGTTTGAGTGGGTGAAAGGTCACCAGCGACCAGGTTTGCCTCACTCCACAGAAGTTCTTTGCAATCTGGGAAAGACCAGGAAACAGAAGCCTCAAGCTTTAAAGCAAATGACTTCAAAAGGGACCTTCTCTGTCCCTGCCTTGGTGTGGAGGAGGTGTGGAGGGGGAGCAACTAAGTGCTAGAAACTCAGAAAATGCTTATTCCAAAAACACAAACTACACTTCCTAGGTAGGTGGGAGAGGTTGCCACAGTCAGCTACCTTTCCCAGCTGAGAGCTGGCAGGCTTGAACCATCTTGCCTGTAGCAGGATTTTAATGTGGTCTCAAAGTAGAAATCCGCCTCTCTGGTTCTGAGACCCCCTGCAGCAGCGAAGTGTCTGAAATTAGAGCTCATCATGATTAAATCTCAAAATGTGGCTACTCCAACGTTAAATAACAGCCTACCCTAAACATCAGTGTTCCGTCCATAATGTGGCCATTCTCGGAACTTAGAATAAAGCATTCTAGTTTCCTTAGAGACACACGTTCATATCAAAGTTCCATGATAGAAGAGTCAGCTCCTGATTTGGGCTCCCCTCCACTTCCACCCAGGAGCTCCAGCCCCAGAGATAACCACCCACAATCTCATAGGGCACTGTGTAACCCCTTGAGGATCTGAAGGGAATCCAGTAACCAGCCTTCTAGGTAGAGCTTGGCCCTACACTGGTAATTAAAAAAATGTTGTCTAAATTTAAAATGCACAAATGACAATTTTTCAAATTTCAATAGGAAGCAAAGGCCCCATAACATGTTGACTTAGACACAAGTGTTTGTAAGGCATACAAACAGTGCACATTAGGTCACCGGTTCTGGCACTGGGTCCCTGGGTAACCCACTCATCTTCTTCTGGGACACGACAGGAGCAACCTGGTCTCCCACGGCCACCCAACCCCCACACATCCCCAAAGGGATTTCATCCTCCTTTACCACAAACAGAGGGAAACTGAGTTGGTGGCAAGAAAGGACCCGGCCTAGCAGAATTCTTCCCTTGCCCCAAATTCACAAGGATGTTTTTACACACTATTAAACCACAGGAGCCATTTTATAAATGTCATCATGATAGTCTTTTAATATTTTACATAAAAAACTGTATACACAGCTTATAGAACTTTTATGTAAACATCATAAGCTCACCACTTTGTCATTTATCAGTTTATTTAAAAAATAAAAAACAAGACAACAATTTAGTAGAAGTACCACTGGCTTGGGAAGGGAGGGGGAGAAAGGAGAGCCTAGGGGCAGGTTCATTCTCTGTACAGAGATGCAGAGAAAATTTCACATAGCTCTAGAGACTGCTTTGTAAAAAAAAAAAAAAAAAGGTTTTAAATAGGCCCCAATACTTGTTACTGCCCTTTATCAAAATAGTGCGCATACCTGCACAAATAAAATCAAAAAACAGTGCTGCCACTTTCTTCAAGAAAACAAAACAAAAATTAGTGGTTTCTTTTTCTCCTTGTTTTTTAAAAGTCATCATTTTTTTAAAAAACATCAGAAGTAGATGAGGTTACAGCGTACAAGTGTGGTCAGAATGCTACTGTCTTATGCAAATGACAAGTGCATTAAGTGTGAAACAATGAAACAATTGTGCAAAGAATTCTTTTCAAAAAAAACCCAACAAGTTTTAGCCTTTAAATAAATCAAATAACATCATTTTCTTGGACTGAACAATTTTCACTTCGTAGGACAGGCACAAAGTTCGCTTATGGCAAAAACAACCCGCAGTACACTCTCCCTCCTCCTGCCAGTGGCTGGTGAGGGGTTCGCCAGGGGCGCAGGAGAAGTCTAGAAGCTGTGTCCTCTCAGCCCCAAGTCAGTTGCAAATGTCTTCCCCAGGGGTTGGAAAAATGGCCAAGTCCTGTTCATGCTTGGAGGGGCGCCTGACCCAGGCTGGGCCGGAGCTGTTCTAGCGCCCTGTCACTCCACACACCACCACCATTAAATAACACCATCCTACCTCCGAAAATAAAATTATATCTTTATTTATATAACACCCCATCCTCCCCAGCCCTCCCTCCCGCAGTTCCCGTGGTCTATGTTACAGACAAGGGAGAGCAGGCGCTCGCTGGTATGGGCGAACATCTGATGGGGTGCGGCCGCATCCCGGCGCCAAGCTCGTCTCCGAGGACCAGAGGCGGGGGTGGGGTGAAAACGGGGCGGGGGGAGTCGAACATACACACAGCTACACACTCTGAAGAGCCTTGGCTCTTCAGAAAAGGGTGCTCAGGGGACCCTTGGCACTCAACGGGGCGCCCGGGCCTGTGCAACACAGCCAGACGCACACAGACACTGGAAAGGGGGCGCCCGGTGCCTCTCACGCCGGTTCCCGGCGCCAGAGCCAGAGCCGCCAGGCCACGGTGGCCGGGCCGGAAGGCAGACGCCAGGAAGTCCGGTGGGGTCCTTGGGGTGCGTGGGTCTCCCCTTCTCCGGGCTCGTGGGGGCGGGCGCAGCCCTCATAGCACCTTGCAGCAGTTGATGCAGCCGTTCTGGGAGCCGTAGCGCTTCTGCAGCGCGGCGCGCGTGGCCGTCTCGAACACCTCGCGCACGCCCTCCTTGGTCTTGGCCGAGCACTCGAGGTAGTCGTAGGCTTGGATGCGCACGGCCATGGCGCGGCCGTCATCCGTGCGCACGGGTTCCTGCTTCATGCGGGCCAGCTCTGTGCGGACGTGCTCGTCGCTGCGCAGGTCTTTCTTGTTGGCCACCAGGATAATGGGCACGTTGGGGCAGAAGTGCTTCACCTCGGGCACCCACTTCTCGGGGATGTTCTCCAGCGAATCCGGGCTGTCCACTGAGAAGCACATGAGGATCACGTCGGTGTCCGGGTAAGAGAGAGGCCGCAGGCGGTCATAGTCCTCCTGGCCCGCCGTATCCCACAGCGCCAGCTCCACTTGCTTGCCGTCCACCTCGATGTCGGCCACATAGTTCTCAAAGACGGTGGGCACGTACACCTCGGGGAACTCGTCCTTACTGAACACGATCAGCAGGCACGTCTTGCCGCACGCGCCGTCGCCCACCACCACCAGCTTCTTGCGGATGGCCGCCATGAGCGGGCCGGGCCCGGGCAGCAGGAGGGGGCCCGCGAACGCCTCGCTGCCGTCCCGCTCGCCGCTCACTGCTCACCTCAGGCTGCGCGCTGGGGGCAAGGGTCGCTAGCTGCACCCAGGCCCCGCGGTGGCGCGTTCTCTCGGTGCGCTCGGGCTGCCGCGGCGGGGGCTGGGGAGGCGCGGGAGCATAGGGCGCACCGTGCGTCTCCGCGCCGCTGCTGGGCGGTGGCTGCTTTTCTCGCCCCGGGCCCCAGGCCGGCGCCTGTCTGCGCAAAGGGTAGCTCGGGCAGGGGAGCCGGCCTAGACCCCCTCCGGGTCTCTACAGGCCTCGCCCAGCGTACACGACAAGGCACAGCTACAGCCAGATTGCGGTGGCAGATGCGGGCTGCGGCCCTAGCGCCCGCTATTTAAACAGTTCGGCCACTTTCTTAATATAGCCGCCCAATGGGAAGCGAGCCGGCTGAGCTCATCGCTGCGGAGCTTGGCTCTGATTGGCAGTCCGCTGCAGCCCAGGGGCGGGGCCGGGCGAGCTTGATTGACGGCCCAGGCCGCGGGGCTGGGAGAGGTGGCGACTGGAGAGTCTGCGCCGCGGCTGGCGCTGCGGGGCCTTGGCGGCACCAGGTTTCCCTCCTTCGCGGAAGCTTCTGCGCGCAGAGTTGGGGGCCGGCAGCTGGCTGCCTGGAGCGCGCGGGGCCTGGGAGAGCGGTCTCAGAGAGGCGGCACTTTGTGGGGCGTGGGCGACTTCCTCCTACTTAGAATTGCCGCAGCTTCCTTGCAAACTCCCAGCGGGTTGTGGGACCTGTGGGGGAGGGGCCGGCTCCTTTAACGTGGTTTTATTTTTTAATAAACGGACACACACAGGTTTGTTTCCCAGCAAGGTTTTTTTTTTTCTTTTCTGTTAGAAGCTGCCCCTCCCCCTACCCGGGTACTCGCCCTGGGGCAGCCCTAGGTTTGGACCCGGGAAGCGAGAAGCTGACTCGGAGCTGGGTGGGCCTGGGCCCAGCCTCCTGGCTCTTACAAGTGCTACCACCTACCCCTTCCCCGCCCCCAGCGTGGGTCTCTAGGTGAAGATTAGAGGAAGGAGGGACAGTGAAAAAGGAAGGTCGAGGCTGGTTCAGATCCACTTGGAGGAAGTTACCAAGCAGAAAGAGGCAGCCTGGGCCCGAGTTTGCATGATTAATTCGGATCCTGGGCCTAAGGCTGAAACCGGGCTGAAGTAAATAGTACCACAGAATCCAACCACTCCACACCCCGTTGGGCAAGAAGAGGCTGAGGCCCCGGGGAGCAGCGGGGGCAAGAAACTTTCAGGTGAGGACACAGCAAATTAGTATCTGGTGGGTGCTAGATCCGTAGTCTCCTGCTACACGCCAGGACTTCATCTATCCCGCGGATGGTGCAGGAGCTGACACCTACTTCTGACCCAGAAGGACCTAAATCAATGGATTTCAATGGACAGAGAGGTGGAAAGGGGGGACAGAAAGACAGGGAGGGCCTCCCAGGAAGGAGGAACAGCTTGAACAAAAGAGAGGTGGGAAAGTGGAGGACAAACGCTAGGAACGCAAATAGCTTAGTGTGGCTGCACTTGATGGACAGAGAGAGTTGGAACTCAGGTTGGGGCAGATCATGGAGGTCTAAAGTACCAACCCCCCAGGTTGGACCATATCCACTATAGAGGCAGTGGGATGCTTACTAGTTTTTCAGCAAAGGAGAGACCCAACACATCATGGTGAGGTTACTGCCTCATAATTCTGCCTCTGGCTCTAAGACTAGAAGCTGTTGGAAGGCCAGGAGTCTATCTTATCTCAGCATCTTGAAAACCTAGCACAATGCCTGACCCTATGCAAGAATCAGTAAATAACTGTGGAGAATTCACCTAAATGCTCAGGAACTCAGCTGGGACTTTCTAGGGGTCTCTTCCCTCAGACTTCAGACTCTGCTTTAACAACCATACAACCAAGGCCATGCAGCCAGCTGTAATAGAGCCCCGGTGTTTTCTCATCTTTCATTTGTTGCCATCTAGGTCTCTATATGGACCCCGCAGATATAATCAGGTCAAATAAGACGTTAGTGCCCCTCAACCCCTAGAGCCTGTCCTAGAGGGAACATCTCAAATGAGCAAAAGTGCTTACCTCGCAATGGATTAGCTCCACTACATTGCCCAGCTTTTTTGTTTTGTTTTTTGTCTTCCAGATCTAAGGAACTGAACTGTCAATAAGTAAATAATTTTTCCACCGTGGGATCCCATGGAAGAAAGTAAGTTTTTTTGATCGTTGATCTAGAACTCCAATCTGGAAACTTTTCTTTTTCATTTTTTTTAGTTGGCCTATTAGAAAAATCTTATCTTGGGGGTCTGCCCCGTGGCTTAGCGGTTAAGTGCGTGCGCTCCGCTACCGGCAGCCCGGGTTCGCATCCCAGGCACGCACCAACGCACCGCTTCTCTGGCCATGCTGAGGCCGCGTCCCACATACAGCGACTAGAAGGATGTGCAACTATAACATACAACTATCTGCTGGGGCTTTGGGGAAAAAACGGAGGAGGATTGGCAATAGATGTTAGCTCAGAGCTGGTCTTCATCAGCAAAAAGAGGAGGATTGGCATGGACATTAGCTCAGGGCTGATTTTCCTCACAAAAATAATAAATAAATAAAATAAAATAAAATAAACTTTAAAAAAAAAGAAAGAAAAATCTTATCTGAATTTTTCTTTTAGTCAAAACCTTTTATAGCTGTTATTGTTAATACTGCTTTCCTTGATCGTAATATAGCTTGGGAATCTTGGCTATGTCCTCAAGCTTCAAACATTAAGAAAATATCAAACAATTAAAGCTCTGTACCATGTATTTTTTTAAAAAACTGAAATACACAGTTTTCAGGAAGAGGGATTCAATTCACTCATTTCCTGATTCTCAGACATATTGTATGAGGTGTCCCGAGCTTGAATCTCAATATCACAATAATTTCTAAAAATATTCAGTTAGTAAACATGCCAAAGTAAACAAATAGAAAGAGTTCTGCAGCAACTTCTTTTCATGGTATTCTTTTTTTTTGTCCCAGATACTTTGACAAGCTCTGTGGAAACGGTGCCGCTCACGGGAGAAACTTTTCCAAACTAGGTGATGTGTCCAGCACTCTCCTCCCACCTCCCCTCTCCCTTCACAATACACTCCTGCTGAAGGGCGAGGATAAAACTGATTCGTCTACAAGAACAAATCATTTTAATAATTAACTTTATTAACATCTGGGTTCGTTGTATGACAGATACCCACACCAGTGAGAGAGGAAAATTATCCTTCAGACAAAAGGGAGATGTTAATCTGTCCACAGTCTTCAGCTTAATTTATTTGGGGTTTTTTGTCTGGTGTCTCCTACAGATCTCCTGAAAATTACCCCCCAACTCCTCCCAGACAAGACCAGAGACTGGAATGTTCATTAGATTTTAGTGCCACCTTGTGGCAATCTTTACAGGTTTTTTTTCTTAAAAAAAAAAAGTAATATATATATATGATTATAAAAAACCTTATCTAGTCAAAAGACATGCATTTTATGACTATTTTTATTTTAAGATCTTTCATGGGACGTAAAACCCTAAAGAATGTTTTACAAGTAGAATCTTAGAAGTTCTTCATGTATATATTTATATACCCGTATAACGTTTTTCATCTACACTTAAAAAAATAAGTTTCTTCCTAGTTAAATAGTAACTTCTAAAAGAGGTTAAAGGAGATAAAGGCTATGGAACCTAGCTAATTTACATAATAATGGACTTCCTCTTCCCCTTATTATAATGTACAGAAATGTAAAACAACTGTAACCACAAAAATCATCTGTCTTTTTTCCCCAGTTAAAAAAGCCATTATTGGGTATTCTGGTATAATTAGAAGTAATAATAATTCATTTACCAATAAGCATTTATTGGGAACCAGCAATGCTATAGACATTCCTGATAGCCATTTGATTTTTAAATTTTTTCTAATATAAGGAGTAGCTTAAAATCTATAAGAAAATTGTCAACCTTCCATCTCAATGCAGTGAGTTGTAAAAAGGGAAAGGCTCTTCTAGAACTAGTCACGCTGTTTCACGTGGGAAAGTGGAGGTGGTCCCATCTGGTCCATTTGGGGCCCCTTCAGCCGTGAGTTACATAGCTGAGCCTTCAAGCTGCTCTCTGGGGTCTCCAGCAATGAGCAACAGCAAGTAAAACATCCCTCTCCTGCCCTGAGAGTGTGACCCAGTGTGACCCAGGCCTAAGGCAGAGAAGGCTGGGGTCACAGGAGAACCACCATAGCTAGACTATTAAACTTCGGAATGTGGGCATTGGACTCTGATCAAAACCCCATCTCTCCAGCCCAGGGCCAGGCCAGGGGGAGTAGGCAGTGCGCAATGGGGCAGCTCCTGATTGCTGTAAAACTGCACTGTCCAATCCAGTAGCTGCTAACCACAAGTGGCTGTTGAGCACTTTCGGTGGCTGGTGCCACTGAAAAACTAAGTTTTTAATGTTGTCTGATTTTAATTAATTTAAATTTAAACTTAAAAACTGATATTCAAGAGCCAGCCCTGATGGCCTAGTGGTTAAAGTTCAGCACATTCCACTTCGGCAGCCTGAGTTTGGTTCCTGGGCGCAGAACCACACCATTCATCTGTCAGTAGCCATGCTGTGGCGGCGGCTCACGTAGAAGAACTAGGACTTGGACTAGAATATACAACTATGTACTGGGGTTTTGGGGAGAAAAAAAAGAGAGAGGAAGATTGGCAACAGATGTTAGCTCAGGGCAAATCTTTTCCAGCAAAAATAAATAGGTAAAGATAAAAACTGATATTCAGGGTGGGAGGAGGGGGAGATGTTGGTCAAAGAGTACAAACTTCCAGTTATAAGATGAATAAGTTCTAGGGAGCTAATGTACAGCATGGTGATTGTAGCTAGTAATACTGTATCACATACTTGAAAGTTACTAGGAGAGTAAATAATAAATGTTCTCACCACAAAAAAGAAATGGTAATTATGTGACATGATGGAGATGTTAGCTAAGCTATGGTGCTAAGCATTTTGCAGTATGTAACTATCAAATCAACACCTTGTACACCTTAAACTTACATGGTGCTATTTGTCAATTATCTCTCAATAAAGCTGGAGAAAGAATTAAATGAATACTGATAAGGACCACAAAAAAAAAATAAGAAATAAAAACTTATATTCAATTCAGTTACAGTCATATGCCACATAACAACGTTTCAGTCAACGACAGACCGCATATACAACAGTGGTCCCATAAGATTAGTACCATACAGCCTAGGTGTGTGGTAAGCTATACCATCTGGTTTCTGTAAGTACACTCTATGCTGTTCGCACAACAACCAAATTGCCTGACACATTTCTCAGAACATATCCTCTTCGTTAAGTGACGCATGGCTGTATTGGGAAACTTTTATGTATGTTTGAAACAACTTGGGTACGTGAATCTACTTTTTCCTACTGGAGATTTTATGAAATCTAAATAGAGATTGAGTATTTTTGATGAAAATTTAGCACCCGAATTGAGATGTGCTGTAATTTTAAAATGAACACTTGAATTTGAAGACTTAGATTGAAAAACATGTAAAATAGTTCATTAATAATTTTTATATTGATTACATATTGTAATGATAACATTTCGGATATAGTGGATATATTTTTAAATATATGAAATTTAATATGTTGGATGTATTTGGATATATAATTCAAATTAATTTTACCTTTTTGTGTTTTTTAATCCGACAGCTAGAAAGCTTCATTACACGTGTGGTTCACATTACATTTCTATTGGACAGCTCTGCTCTAAAATGTCTACAAGTTCGTGTGGCTCCCTGGCTACTCAGTCACTCACCATCCTCTCAGGGAGTCACCTTTATACGAGCCCCTGGAACCTGTTAATTTTCCTGTGGGTATGATTTCCTTTTATTTGTCCTAAACTCACTGCTGGGTTTCCGAGGGGCTCAGACACTCGGACGAACACTGTGGTTTGGGGCAATCTAGAGCCTCCTGGTCCCACTTTCCATCACCGCTTTCCAAGCCAGGCACCTCCAGGGCTTTTCATCTGTCCCCTGAAGCAGCAGCCTCCTCCCTAACCTGTCCGACTCTCATCCCAACACTAGGTGGTGTTTTCTTAAACAGTAGAGGCTGTTTGGGCTTTTTTGCATGGTGACTTATTTTCCTTTCCAAAAAAGAGAATCAAATGTAGTCCTTGTCCAATTTTGGTAGAAAAGTAGGAGTTATGGATTGTTTTCTTGAACTCTCAGATCAACCTCAATCTTCTCAGTTCCATTCAGTAAACACAGATTGAGGGGAGGGAGTGGAGAAGGGGAAGTGAAGGCACAAAAGATACATAAGGCACAGGACCAACATGTAAAGACACACACACACACACCCCCCCAACTGTGGGACAAGATACCACTAATGTGTGGAGCCAGCTTCACAGGAGGTCACATTTGAGGAGGGCCTTGACTGACAAGGAGGATATTTCCAGAAGAAAGAGATGCTCATTTGCACCATCTGAAACACTTTGTGGATTTTCTGTGGAGAAAGCTTCCAGGCAGAGCCATTTGCTGGGAAGGGGAAGTGGCAATAGGCAGAAATAGAAAATGTTCCTCCTTCCACATGTGAGTTTGCCTGATGACAACGGTGGGGTGAGGTTTGTCTTGCCCTGAGGAATGGGAGGGCAGAAAAGAAAGAGGAAGGTCACAAGGACTTGCCATTACATAAGTGCTGTCATTACAAAATCCACCCCAGCGAATGCTCGAGGTTCTGTGGTGAATGCTGAAATTGCACATACGTTTATTAATTTAGCAAAAGCTGCGGGAGAGTGGTGTGGAGTTGCGGTGAGCAGGAGGGAGGGAGCCTCATGCTAGGAGGCTGGAGACTTGCTTTTTGGGCCTTCCAATTCCCAGTTGTACAGCCTTGGGCAAACCATCCTTTCTCAGTCTGTTTCCCCATTTGTAAAATATAGGTAGAACTCAGAGGTTGGAAATTCAGATATCCACGGGGCCCTGCAGGTAACATAGCAGTGTGTAAGACATTAGGTCCTGGTGGAAACTGGGGCTAACCGGAGAAGTGCCGTATCTAAGCTGTGGAAGTTCAGAATTTAAAAACAAATTACTGGGCTGTGCAGAAAAGACACTGGCAGAGCAGGCTACATTTGGCCAGCAGAACCAGTTTGTGGCCCCTGACCAGATGAATTTCATTTTTAACAGATCAAAGAGGCTCACCTGTAGAAAGTAATATTGTTAATCCTTTCATAAAGTAGAAAAAAACCTTTATAAACAAAAAATCCTTTTTGTTTAATTTTATTATTCAAGACATTCTTTTATTTGAGTTGCTTAAACTGAGGTCCAAAAGATGAAATATTCCAAAGGATGAAACCTAGGGAAATGTGGTCTTAAGTAAGGATAGGTCATTCTCCCAGCTAAGAGGGGGTTAGCTTTCAGCAGGATGGGAGCTGTTACCCACTGTGTCAGTTCAGGGGGCAGTAATGCCAAGTTTTTTCTCTTCCCTTTTTTTAGGCTTGACAGCAAATGATCTAATCAAAGTATTTATACAAGGATGATTCACTTCTTGTGTTCTCTTATGATGTCAGAATTTTGCAATAGGGAGGAGCTGAATTCACAATGGATTTCCACACTCCAATGCATTACCACTGAAGTTGTGTCTGTGGCTATTTATAGCACAAGACGGAGTCTGTATTAGGAGCCACTGCTCCCCAGGGAATCTGGGGAGCAGCTGACTTGTTCGTGGAGAGGCTGTGATGGATACACTTCACTCCACCGTCCCCAGGCCTCTGCTGCTGCTCCAGCCACACAGGTGGGTGGGACATGGCTCAGCAAAAGAAACTGTTCCTCTTGAGGGTCCTCAATCAGAAAGGAGAGCACGGAAAATCTTTCAGACAACTCTCCGCTGGAGTGGCTTCATTGTGGAATGTGGAGTTGTGTGATTTCTGTTCGGCTTGGTCACGTATGTTTAAGAAAGAAGCTGATACATGTATAGCAATGCCTAGAATGTTCACTCATTCATTCATTCCACTAAGATGTGTTAGGTGCCTCCTGTATGTCAGGACCTCAGTATAGGACCTACCTGCCCTGCTTTAAGGAACTCAGGGACCTTGCATACTTGGCATCTCACAGCTGTTGAACTCCCTATGTCTAAATGAAGCAGGAACAGAGCTTGAACCTGGCAGATATGAAGGAGGTGATGACAGTTGTTACTCTCATTCAGTCATTCATTCTTCAAACGTGCTCTGTGCCCAGCAATGGGATATAGGGAGGAATTCGATAGAGTCACTGCCCTCAGAGGACCTCTGGTTCATAAACATAAGTGGCAATACAGTACAATAGTCATAGCAATTAAACTGACTGTGTCACTCTAGCTATAATGGGTAGGCCCAGGGGAGGGGCCTGAGGAGGAGGTCAGAGAAGGTTTGAACTCAGTGGTATATTGCTACTTTGGTGGCCCTCATGAACTACACCCTCCAGTATTCACCTCCATGTGTGGTCACCTCCCATAATGAGTCTGAGCTTGGCCATGTGACTAGCTTAAGCCTATGGGACGTCAGCAAGAATGATGCAACCTCCAGCTGGATAAGTACTTACACACTGGGCTTGCCCTTTTGGAATGCTTCTTCCCGGAACCTGGATGCCATCCTTTAAGGAAACTCAATCAGCCATGTGGAGAAGCCCATATGGAGAAGAACTGAACCCCTGACCAACAGCCTCAGCAAAGCTACCAGCTGGTGGCCAGCACCAACTGCCAGCTATGTGGGTGGGGCCATTTGAACCTTCCTTCCTGACACCCCAGCCAACACCATAGGAAGTAGAACTGCCTGAATCAACCCATAAAATCAGGAGAAAAAATGAATTGTTACTGTCTTAAGCAACTGTATTTTGGGATGGTTTGTTCCACAGCAATGGGTAACTGGAACAAGCTGAATCTTGATGGTTGCATAGAGGTTAGCCAGGCCAAGAGAGGAAAAGAAGGGCATTCTGGGGTATGGAGGCATAAGACAGCATGCATATTCAGGTACTAGGTAGCTCAATGTGGGGGGAATGTGGGGTATAAGGTGGAGAGAAGCAGTCACTGGAACTGAGGAGGCTGGCCACGCCCAGATCCAAGCATCTGGAAGTGGGTTGGGAATCCCAAGACCACCCCTAGGTTGAATGATTCACCAAGTGGACTCACAGGGCTCAGCACAGAGTAGTACTCAGAGCTGAGATTTATTGGACAAGAAGATGCAAAGCAAG